TTTTAATATAAATATTTTCATTATAAATGTATAATTATTTCTTATTTAATTTATTAATTTCATCTATGATTTTTCTATTCACTTGTAGCTTTCGCACCTCAACAAGCCCCACAAGCGTGCACACCATCAAAAGCCACAACAACAGCAGCAACAACAACAGCAACAGTCGACGCAATTGACGGATTTGCGCACAGATAACGAACTGGCCGAAACTCTGGTCGCTGAGCTGGAGAATGTGGAGGCACAGTACGAGGCGATTGTGAATAAACTGCCGCAGGACTGCAGCGAGCTGTCGACGCATGTGGATGGACTGCATTTAATAGCGCCCGCTGGCCAACACCATCCACTGATGACGCACTGCAACGCAAACGGCTGGACGACGGTGCAGCGTCGCTTCGATGGCAGCGCCGATTTTAATCGCTCGTGGGCCGATTATGCCCAGGGCTTTGGCACGCCAAGTGGCGAATATTGGATTGGCAACGAGCAGCTGCATCATCTAACCCTGAACAATTGCACCCAGTTGCGCATCCAAATGCAGGATATCTATGATAACAATTGGGTGGCCGAGTATAAGCATTTCTATATCTCGTCGCGTGACGATGGCTATAGACTGCATATCGGCGACTATAGCGGCAATGCATCCGATGCGCTCAACTATCAGCAGGGCATGCAGTTCTCGGCCATCGACGACGATCGCGATATATCACAGACGCACTGTGCTGCTAACTATGAGGGTGGCTGGTGGTTCTCTCATTGCCAGCACGCCAATCTCAATGGCCGCTATAATCTTGGCCTGACTTGGTTCGATGCTGGTCGCAATGAATGGATTGCGGTCCGCTCGAGCCAAATGCTGGTCAAACGTCTGCCCAGCGATGTGTGTGCGCCGAGTAGTAGCAATGAGGCGGCAGCAGCAGCAGCAGCAGCAGCAGCAGCAGCAATTGCCGCGACAACAACAACAACGGCAACGCCAGTGGTGCCAAGCACAAGGCCAACCACTGTGGTGCAGTTTGTTGCCGCTGCGCAGGCGTAAGCAAACAGTTAGCTGAGCAAAAAATAAATAAAAAAGAAAACTATAAGAGAAATAGAGAATAAAACAGCTACAGTGAACCACCAGAGCCATGCCTACTATAGTTTGGAGTGCGTGCGTGTGAAACGCGCAAAAAAAAAAACGAGAAAAGAAATCGAAAAAGAAAACTCAATATATAT